ATCTATTCATACTGTTTGTAGGGTTGTTTCCATCATCACCATCAATCTATTCACTGCAGGAATCCATTTATTCACTGTTCATTTGGTTGTTTCCCTCATCACCAACCAAAGGTCTATTGTTTTCATCATTCACCAACCAAACATATCGTTGTCTTGCTTAATCCATTTACAATCTAATCTGCCTCCTGCAATCTACATGAATAAATTATTATGTTTTTTAGTTTACAAGTTGCAATGCTGCAATGGTTAGCAAAACCTTAAGTGAGATTAGGCCAGGAAAGGAATTGTGGAAAATAAAAAAATGGGTCACTATTGCTAGGTAGTGGCGAACAAATCAGTCTCGATATGATCATTATTGACCATCAGGTATAATAATTCTTCACTATGTCTATAATGACCTCAGATTATTTCTAGTTTACATGCTAATGATAATAAAAAAAATTGGGGGACCAAGATGCATGGAGTTATGAATAAGACATGTATGGAAAAAATTCAAAACACTTATTGAAGAAGGTAAAGTTTACATCATTGCAAATGCCAGAGTCACAACAACTGCACAAAAAATATCGACCAGTGGAGAAATGATAAGGTACTTTTGCCGACAACTAATATAAAGAAGAATATCAAAGATACACAAGACATTCCAAAGTATAGTTTCCAGTTCTTCAGACATGCTTTCTGATAGAGTAAATAAACATGTACCTCTCAGGTAAACTAATGCTAATGTTATAATTTTTATGCTTTTCCTCATTACTTTGATCACTGTATTTGATAATAAGAACTCATATTTTATGTATCATAGATATCATAGGAGTTGCAGCACACATTGGACCGATAGAAGAAACCCGGACATACTTGAGCGGCGAGTGACCAAAATCCGTGATATTGTGCTCCTGGTCGAGTAGGGATTTTTTAATGCTAGTGCAGCAAACCTGATGAACTAAAGATATTTCATTCTTATTGTTTTCCACACGTTAATATAGATTATTTTCCTAATGTTTTGGCAAATCTTAAATTACATTATTTTTTACTTGAAATTTGCAGTGGACAAGAAGTTAATGTTACGATTTTGGGGGGCCAAAGTTGAGCAAATTGATGAGAGCGCGAAAATCTCATGTCATTGCAATAACCTCTACAACCATGAAAAATTGGCAGTAAGTCTTCATTTAATATCAATAATTCAATAATATTAGACATTTAGCAAGCCTCTAAGGAAAGTAAATAATTCTTATTTTTGCAGAATATTCTCTGTCATCAACCAATGCAACACAAGTTTTTTGTAGATTTACCAATTCCTGAAGTTATGAATGCATGTAACAGGTAAATCAAATTAAAATAGTGGTATTTCTATTTTGTATATGTAGCTTACACTCTAACATGGTAAAATTTCTTTGTATAAAAAAGCATATCATCAAGTGGTACTGGTATAGAAGAGATTCATTTTGATGACCATTTAAATGGGAAATTGGAGGAGCAAATGCAGTGCAATAGAAGAACTTTAGAAGAATTAGGTTTGATTTTGTATGACTCATCAATTAATAATAATATTTTTCGCTCAACAGCTTTCATGACACACTAGGAAAAGCTAAATCCTGAAAATTATCAATATTAGCCATATGATATATTATGTTTAATAAGAAAAAGAATCAGGTATGTCAAATATGACTCTACCATTATGAACTACAATTCAAAATAATCCTTAAATTTGTATCGAAATTATCCACATCTATTATTAAAAAGATAATAACCTTTTAATATTGCTGTAGACACGGTTGAATTACTAAAGAAGAGATATCCAACACGTCCAAATAATGTACAAAAGTCAGTTGGGGCATAAAACAAAAGAAGGAAAAGATAATATCCAACAAATTAATGAACACTATTAGCAATGCCACGACGATCTCTCTCAGACATACCAATGCCAATTCTAAACATTTGTGTAACTCTGGATTCAAATAAAAGTTAATTGAATGAAGTATTTTTTTATAAAACATATATTAAACATGGTTTCCTATTGCTTAACTACTCAAAGTTAGACCATATGGAAGAATCTAACCCGTGCGACAGCACGGGTTGATGGACTAGTGGAAAGGAATAATACGTTACGTGAGTGCGTGCATGCACCAACTTGCATTGCAATTTGCATGCAGATAACTATAGCTTGTTATCGACGACACTCCTACTCCCTAGCTTGCATATGGAATCGGAGAAAGGTCTGTCTGGCACTAAAACGTGCATCAACACAAGCCTCTTGCTAGAAATTTGTCCCTCACACGGTGCAATTAAACTTGCCAGCCGGAATCTTTAGTATATGAACTTTGCAACGACTACTGTAGTCATGACCCTGTACTTATCTTTTAGTTGCTTGGTCAATTTTGGGGACTGCTATTTTCTGATATCAACTGTTGAGGTGAAGTTCAGTTACCCGTTGTGATTTAGTGGTAGTTTTATGAACCCGTTGTGATTTAGTGGTAGTTTTATGGTAATCCGGCAGTTAATAATATTCATTTGACTGAGCTTCTTGACTAATATAATTGTAATTTTCATGGATATAACCAAATGATATATATAGTCACAATATTAATAACCAAACTTTATTGACTGTTATATGATTTGTGCATATGGACACTACTAAAAAATGTTTGTAGCAACGGGATACGATGCAGGCGTGCTTGGGACCTACGCAGACCAGCCACCCCTACAAATAAACACGATGAGGTTGGTGATATGAGCCGCCAGCCTACAAATGTGTCGATTTGTAGGGGCGGCTCACCACCAACCGCTCTCGGTGTTGCAATTGTAGGGCGGCTCAATCACCAACCCATTTTACAAATGTTGAGACGAAACCCATGGGCTCAAACCCAGGCTTAGGCCTCACTTTCGCTTGTAAGGCCAGCTGAACCCGCAGAGCTGTCATATACGACAATGATCTAAGCCCTTGATCTGAATCCAACGGCCAAGTTCGTCCCACGAAGAACAAAACTAGCTCCACCCGCGGACTTCCCAAACCCTAACAAGATTTAGGGTTTCATTCTCACTTATCCAACCTCTCACTCTCTATCTCTCTATCAGCGCGCTCTCTCTCACTCGCCTCCTCTCTCTCTCCCTCACTCGCCCACCTCTCTCTCTCTCTCTCTCTCTCTCTCTCTCTCCCTCTCTCCCTCTCTCCCTCTCTCGGTGCGGTGGCGCGGGGCACAGTGCTTGGCTACCTTCCCTCCGTGGCGACGGCGACAGGACGGCCCCAATCGGGCGGCAACAAGACGGACAGCCCCAACCGTGGCGGCGGCGTCATGGGTGGTCCACGGGCGGCCACCACCCCGGCTGACAGCTGTGTGGACGCCCATATCTTGGCGGCGACGTTGATGGCGAAGCAGCCGGATCTAGGTCGGATCGCGCCTCGGCGATAGATCCAGGCGCGGCGCGCTCTCGACGACGACTCTAAGGCGGGCCTATCATCCGGTGATGGATCTAGGTGGTGATGTCCCCGCCGGTGGATCGGGCGTGTGTGCTCCCCGATGGCAGAGATCAGGAGAGCCCATCCTCCAAGCGGCGGATCTTGGGTGGTGGCGTCCTCGGTGGTGGATTGAGGGTGGCGCGACCGGATCTGAACCGACGCGAGCGGCAGAGATCTGATGTGGTCGGATCCTTGGGTGCGTAATGTCTGAGGGCTGTCTGTGCGATGGATGCTCCAACATCTGTAGTTACGCACCACCGTTGCATAATATGGTAAGTGATGTCCGGTCCTCTTTTTTCACATATTCTTTAGTAGATTTGTCTCCGTATAAATGAGTTAGCTTCTTATTCAAGTTGGCATCTACTTTCTTTTAAATTTGCAGCAATAACATATCGTTAGATCGTTGTGTCTTCATTTCTCATAACTGGTGGTTTTTATTTGCAACCCATCATTCTAACTTCTTATTTCTCGCTCACTCATGTGCAGGAAACAAGAACAATGGAAAAGCTATCGGAATTTATGAACTTAGCTATTTTATGATTTTGGTATGCTCTCGAGTTTTTTTTATGATTTTGATAAGCTCCCTACTGCAACGTGTGGTGTGTATTGATGCTGTGAAACTTGTTAAATTTGGTTAATCTGAATATGATAATGGATGTAATGATATTGGGTTGTGCAGATTCTCGGATTTGATATATATATATATATATATATATATGTGTGTGTGTGTGTGTGTGTTGTGTCTGCGTAAAATGTATCTGTAGGAGCGGTTCTAGAGTGAACGTCCCTACAAACAAGTATATATAGGGCGGTTGGTACTATGGTCGCCCCTACAAATCAATTTTGTAGAGGCGGCTAGTTAAATTGGTTTGTAAGGGTGGCTGATAACACTAGCCTCCTCTACAAATTGATTTGTAAGGGCGGTCTGGGAATCACCCCTACAAATACATAATTTGTAGAGGCGCTTGGTGAGGGGCGGCTGGGCAAACTGCCCCTACAAAGCCTCTAGAGCCGCTTCTACAGAGGTATTGTGTAGTAGTGGGATTCTTCAGTTCAATGTTATAGATATCTGATAAATCTGCTTCAATATCTATATTATAGTTTGGAGCTGTAATTTCTGACATGCACTATGCACTGAAACTCACTTAGTTCACCATTTGCAGCGTGTAACTGGCAGGGACACATAAGCGTTATAGTCAGATTAGATATGCCAGCCTAAGGTTATTTGGTCCCTTCTCCCATTTTTTGGAAACTAGAGGGATCAAGGACCCCAGGTCACTGTAAGCAAGATATAAGGTCTACTTTTCTCCAGGTCAGAGCTCTTTCATCATTGGGAATGTCTACGATCATTCCGGTATGTCTCTAATAGAGCTTCTTTATCCTGAATCCAGCAAGCAAGCATTCAACACATGCAAAGGCTCTAAATACTGGTTCACAGTATGCCAGAAAAAAAACATTGTTATTACTGATTTTATCTATTTGGCCTGCTTGTAGTAGGGTAACTCACAAGTTTCACTACCAAAGATTTAAATTGGGCACCAATTTAAAAGTTAGAAGTTGGTATATAATATGGTAGAGAAGGAGGATTATTTATGACTGGTCCTACTTTGAAAAGGTTGCATGTCGACACAATGAAAAAGAAGAACTCCACTGCAAATATAATCAATACATGCAGATTCAATGAGATATTTTGACACACCCATCTATTTTAGTGTTAGGCTCTGTTTTTATAACTGGTTAATGCAATGAACTGGCTTTCTTTTTTCTCATGAGATACTCTTAGAGATCATGAATTTGGTTAAGATGTTGGACTCTTTTGCCATTAGAGTTCTAGGTTCCTGTCTGTAGGAAATAGGAAAACTCTGAGCATACATTTTCATTTGCAATGAATTGCTGAATTTTCATCGTTACATCTTAGGTAAATCTACTAAAGCTTAATTATTTCTAAAATTGATTGCTGCTTGTTTTGCTCTACTAAAGCTTCATAGGCTTATTGATATTTTAAATTTTGTTCCTCAACTTAATTTATTCAGCTTAAATCTGAGAAGAACAAGTCCATTAGAGCACTGCAACTCAATGGAAGACACCACAGTGAATACATATTGATTTTAAGGGCGACAACAACATGCTTATAAATTTGTAGAATTCTTGGTCAAAAGCAGAGAAAGGGTGTTGCTGTAGTAGTATAGGTGTCAAACTGTCACTGCTATGTGGTGGACTATATGGAAACTCAGAAGTTTAGCTTTGTATTAGAAATTAATTACCTGCTTGCTGATTCTATTGTTATATTTTGTTTA